ATCGTTAAACAAATTAGGAATATTGGTCTTCATAATTGAATCGTGTTGTCAATTTTATAAAATTCTGATTAAAGAGGATTGATATAAGGGGATTCAGAATCCTAGTACGCATTTCATTATCATATTTTTATAAAACTTGCATTTAATTAAAATCACGCATTTAATTTAATTAATTTAGGCTTTACATTTATAAGTATGTTATTAAATCATAATTTAGTTAGCAAAAATATCAAAAATTTCTATTATTTCGGTTAAGGCGACGATAGATAAAATTGAACTAATCAATCTCTATGGGACGATATTCGGACTCACTTAATCCACTTTATTACTTGTTAACGAACCGTACACTTGCGGTAGTTTAAAATCGAAGGAAATAATTTCGCGAACAAGTTTTTGGCGCCGTTACCGGGGATTGAGTTCAATTTAATTTTATTTTTCTATGCACTAATTCGAAATTTAATTTTCGTTCTCTTTTAGTTTTTATTTATTTTTTATTTTTTTGTCTTTGTTTTGTTTTTATTATTCGATCTATCTTTTTAGTATCTAAGTGCTACTCTTGTTTTTCTCTTAAATTTGCATGCTAAGATCGACTGGAGGAGAATTGATTACGGCCGATCCTGAAATTAAACGCACTTTTCATCGACTACAAAGAGAGAACCGAGAAGCAAAATTGTAAATGGCTAACGAACAAAACAATCCTATTATCCCAGCCAATGAAGGAGAGGCAGTGAACGAAGGAAATGAGATTTTGGGTGACTTCTTGACTCCTCAAGTGATTCAAAGCCAGTCCAGCATTGTGTATCCACCGTTTGGGCACCCTAATTTTCAATTGAAGACGAATGTGATACAGCTGTTCCAAAATGGACATCAATTTTATGGCAGAGCCGAAGAAAATCCACATACACACATATCTCGATTCTTGGATATGTGTCAACACTTCAGATATCAAGGAATCTCGAACGATGCTATTAGGCTAAGGCTTTTTCCACACACCTTGCGGGAAAAGGCACTTGAATGGTTGGATTCGCTTCCTATTGCAAGCATCACTATTTGGAACGACCTGGCTCACAAATTCTGCACGAAGTACTTCTCACCAGCCAAGATAGCTAAAATGAGACACGAAATATCCATTTTCAGCCAGGGAGAATCCGAATCATTTGACGAAGTCTAGAACAAATTCAAGAATATGCTCCGGAAGTGCCCTCAACATGGGTTCGACAAAAAGACCCAAATCCGATTCTTTTATATAGGGTTACTCCCGTACTTCAAAAGCATGGTGGACTCATCATCAAATGGCTCAATTTCTACACGAACAATCGATGGAGCACTAGAATTATTTGAAAGAATGGCAACTACTTCAGCGATGTGGGCATCTGAGCGGGTAACTCAGAAGAAACCTCCGGGTGTTTATGAGGCCGATACTTATTCAGCCATATCTGCGAAGATTGACTCGTTGTTTCACAAGATAGAAAGCATATCACAAACAGTACAAAATAATAAGTTTAGCTGTGAAGAATGTGGAGCTGAGCATAAAACATCAGAGTGTCCAATTTTAATGCAAGGAGTTGAGCAGACAGATTTTGCACAATGGGGGCAACGCCAACAGAATAATCAATATGGGGAAACACACAATAATAGTTGGAAAAAGCATCCCAATTTCTCTTGGAGCAATCAAAATCAGAATAGGCCGCAGGGTCAGTTTCAACAGCAAGAGAAAAATCCTCAATTGGAAGACATGTTCAGGATATTCATGGAGAGGACCAATCAGTACATGGAGAAAACCAAAATCACTCTGCAAAGCCAGAATGCTGCCATCAAAAACTTGGAAACTTAAATGGGATAGATGGCCATCGCTTTGACTGGAAGAGCACAGGGAAATTTGCTAAGTAACACAGAAATCAACCTAAAAGAGCATGCCAAAGCCATCACAACTCGAAGTGGAGTGCAGCTACCTGATATGCATGTCAAAAGGCCAGTCAAGAATAAAGAGAATACACCTTCTGTAGAAGAAGAAACTGTGGAGCAGGATGAACAACCAAACACATCTACCGCAAAGGAAAGCTCGGAAAAAGTAGGGAATAAAGAAACAGTTACAGTCAATCCATATGAACCTCCAATTCCATTTCCACAGAGGTTGAAAACCCACAAAATGGAGCAACAATACAAGAAATTTCTGGAAGTCTCAAGAAGCTCCACATCAACATCCCGTTGGTCGATGCGCTATTCCAGATGCCCAGCTATGCAAAGTTTCTGAAGGACATATTATCAAATAAACGCAAGCTAGAGGATCGTGAAACAGTAATGCTAACAGAAGAGTACAGCGCAAGAATTCAGAAAAAGCTTCCACCAAAATTGAAAGATCCAGGGAGTTTTACTGTTCCTTGCACAATTGGTGATTTTTATTTTAATAAAGCATTATGTGATCTTGGTGCGAGTGTTAACTTGATGCCACTCTCTATTTTTAGGAAACTAGGATTGGGAGAGCCTAAAGCAACTACAGTAACTCTACAACTGGCTGATCGATCACTTACACATCCACGAGGGATTATCGAAGATGTGTTGGTCAAAGTGGATAAACTTATATTCCTAGGGGACTTCTTAATTCTGGACATGGAAGAAGACAAGGACGTGCCTATCATATTGGGACGACCATTTTTGGCAACTGCAAGAGCTCTCATAGATGTGCAACAAGGACAATTGACTCTGAGACTGGGTGAGGAGCATGCCACTTTTAATGTTTTCAAAGTAATGAAATATCTCATCGAGCCAGACAACTGTTTCCAGATTGATGTGATTGACATAGGAATCCCCTACAATTACGAATTGAAGAAACCGCCAGACATACAGAAGGCTGATATGATGCACCCTCAATCCATTCTCACTGACTCAAAGGAGATCGAGGTATACACCGTGGAGTCTCAAACGGATGATGAGGGAGAGTCACACCACGTGAAAAAGGACAGGTTTGAAGTGTCGAGGATAACTGCAATGCGGAACAAGACCATATTGAACAAACTATGCAGGCCCTCCCAAGCCATATTTAAAGTGCCATAACCCACCTATGCCAAAAGTCAGGCTATCGACTATAAAATAGCGCTGGTTGGGAGGCAACCCAACGTTCTATCCTTTCATTTACTTCGTTTTGCAATAGTTTAGGAACTTTTCATTTTTTTAAGCATTATCAATAGTTTTAGGTCATCGATCATACATCCCTATCACATGGAGTCTAAGCATGGTCTACACGAGTCCCAATGCACTGAGCACGAGTCATGAGGTTGAAGTCCTATTTTAGTCAGTCATGTGTTAAATTGAACAAAGTGCATGTTTTGAATGAAGTTTCTTTGGTGATTCACATTTTTGTGATGTAAACCTTATGTTGAGAAATAAATTATGCATATTGTACACCAATAATGTACACATGCACATTGAAGCAAATTTGGGGGATTTGTGCACTACGTAGGTTATTTCTTGCCTCAGTTGCATCTGTTTAAACCATGCGAACTAATACGCATACTTTGCACTTTTATAGGATGTCACTGAAAAGAATGTCACAGGGAAAGGAGAAACACTGCGAGTCCTAGTTTTCATTCACCACCTCCATATAAATCAGGAAAGTACTCGTACCCCATCTTGCGCTTTTAGTTTATTATTGTCCTTCAATTATATCTGTTTACACTTTTATTTCATCTTCACATTGAGGACAATGTATTATCTAAGTTTGAGGGTGGGTGACATAATCCTGGACACGAACATCTTTTCATCATTTTGCCTATATTCATCAATATATCTATTTCATGACTGCATATTATGTGCCTGATGAGTGTTAAAAAAATTCTTTACATTTTATTCAGTCTACTATATTTCCATTTTTACATGTTTGTGTGGGCTTGATAGCCTTGCCGGCTATAATGTGACTATTGAACTGGTATAATTCATAAACTTTGGATATAGTGCTGAATAGATTAACCAATACTTGTGATGCAATACTTGACATTATCTATGCACGTTATTCATGCTTGACATGTTAGGTGAATAACTGGATTTTGAGCATAAAGTAGGAAAAGAATAATAACCCTCTATTGAATTAACACGTAAACCACCTTAAGACAGTTTGGAATTGGTTGAGCTATTATAGGGAACATTGAGATAAGCGGGGGCTCCGTGCATGAAATTTTATTGTGTGGATTGCCCAGACCAATGAGGTGAAAATTAGGTGAAAATCTTAAATTAGGGATTGGTTTTGGAAACTAAATCTCTAGAACAATAAGGGTATAAAATTAATTTGTGAGAATAAGACACTTCTTTTCCAAGAAAAGAATTTAAAATGTAGACATGCAGTAGTAATAGTACCAAGTACTAACAAAAATTTAACCAAATTGGTGGAAAGAATTTTTTTCTTTTTTCTTTAACTAAAAGAGATAGAAAAAATAAAAATGAAATCTTTATTTTATTTTTATTTTTCTTTTTAAAATAGATAAAATATAAATCATTTTCCTTTATCCGGGCTTGGGACATGCTACTTAAATTTTTAGTAAGCGGAGTTAAAAATTGTACACGAACAATTTTTCGTAGCATGAACAATTTTTTAAAGAAAATTAAAAATATCGATAAGAAAAGAAAAGTTTCATCAATATAATTAAATCAAATATTACTTACTTGACGACATGCAATTTCAACATATTTATCTTGTAGTCGAAAATGAGCGTCTTGTCAATCCTTAACGCACATTAACGCTTCTAAAATATCTTCTTTCAGTCAGCTCCTGATCTCGCTCAAAACTCTTTTACCTGCACTAAAAGTAGACTCCGAAACAACAGTGCTAACCGGAGGCGTCGGCAGATCTTTTGCAATCGCAGATATAACTGGCCAACGTCGTTCATACCTTAGTTAGAATTTAATTACTTCGTTTGAACTTTTTTTAATTGTTTTATCTATTGGCATATTCTGGTTAAAATAATCAATTAATTCAGCAGACAATGCATTATGGCTTGAGCCCGTAGATGTTTGATGAGAATGAGATACAGATGGTGACGACATGGCAGTGGTAGTAGATGAACACATTGCAGATGAATCATATCTATACGAATTAATGCCTTGAAATAAATTAAATATTTCAGCATCTTCTTCTTCAATTTCAGCGGAAGGAGTAGGTGCAGATGGTACCCAACTAATATTGATACCCATTCGGTTCGCATATAATTCATACATTTCACATAACGTTTGCTCTAAATTTCTATATGTGATAGATGTATCAAATGTTAAGGCATTTGAAATTTGATCAATTATATATTTAGTTCCCGATAAATTATATCGGGGTCCATCACGCATGCAAAAGGAAATAACATAGGCAAAATTTTCCAATATTTTCTAAATTTTAATTCCATAGAAATTATAATTTCACTAAAATTATGGTCATTTTTGTATTTATGAAATGTTCTTACAATTATATAAAGATGTTCAAGCACCATACAGCCGGTGGGATAGTAAACGTCCAATAAAATTTTAGTGGTTTCATAAAAATATGTCAAAAATCTTTTAACTTTCAAAGCTATTTGTCTATCACGTTCAGTCAACATACCCTCGTCATCACTTCTAACATGTCTATTGTTATAAAAGTCAGTTATTAAATGTTCAAAACCTTCACATGACTTTAATAACTAGTAAGTAGAGTTCAACCTATGACCTACATCGCTAACAAATATTTTAGCATTTTGCACTTCTATTTCAGCAGAATAATCCTCAAATGCTTGTTTTCTACTTGGGGAGATTGTGATATATATTAGTGCGTTCCTAATATTTTGAAGTTCATCCTTTATATGTCTTAAACCATTTTGGACAATTAAATTCAAAATATAACATACACAACTAATAAGAAACAAATACCCACTAAAATCAAGTTGCAGTACCCTATGCAATTTATCAGCAATTACTTTATTAACATTAGCATTATCGAAAGTAAATTAACGAATTTTACCTTCACAATGATATTCTCTAACAATACTAATAATAGCATTAAATATATTATTAGCGTTGTGAAGAAACTCAATAATTCTAAAAGCAATAATTTTTTTATACATACACCAAAGTGGGTCTATATAATGTGCAATTGCAGCTATATATTCTCTTTTATTAATCATTTCCCATATATCCGAAGTTAAAGATATGACACCCCTATATTTTTGCAAATCCATAATTAATTGTTGTTTTGTTTTAGTAAAATATTGTATTGTATCGGAACGAAGAGTGTTTCGACTTACCCCCAACGTACCTTGGCTGCAGATATTCTTTCACATACGAGACGTAGTGTTGGTTGTCAATTAATGCCAAAGGTAACTCAGCACCAGCAACAAGCTTCATCATTCCGGTTCGAGCTCTCTCCTCCGAATACACTTATGTGGATAGGGGTGCAACAAAACCACCGGCATCTGGATTGCCAAATTACAATTGTGTTTGACAACCTGGAATAAGTCTGTGTTTGGCCGCACATACTTTGTAATGACGATTGAGATGGGTGGTACCAATTTCTCTTTGTCATGCCAATCTTTGTTGGCAGTATTTAGATACTGCTTTGGATTCTGAGACTCCGTTGACGGTTTTTCCCGTTGAAATTAACTTAAAGTGATCCCAACATTTTGCTTGTTTTTCCCCTCGCATCAGGAATGTTTAATTCAGCCTCTTCTTCCTGATCGTATTCCGTTTCAGGAACGTCAACATCATCCAAATTAATTTGGATTGCCACTTACATGATGATGAAGATCCAAATCTGAAATATCTTCAGGTAGGGATACGTCATTTAGACCTTCAAATTAATTTTGAAATTGATTTTGCGGTGTCATAGGCGATTCGTTTCCTCCCACACTGAACAAGTTTTCGATGCGTGAATCCATTTGTTTAATTGTAATAAGTAATAACTAGTAAAAGAATAATTGTATAAATGTAGTGAGAAATGAAAATTGGATGAAATTTCAATAAATATAATGAGAACTGAGAAGTGAGATAAATAAAAATTGCACAACTATCAACACAATACAAGAGAGTTGAGGGAAAGATAATTGAGAATTGTGAGTGAATTGTAGAAAATTTTGTGGCTAAATACCACTATTTATAGAAGAAGAAGAGGGAAGAAAAAAGATTAAAGGACCGAAATGGTCACTGAATTTTTTCAGCGACCTTTAACAGTCACAAATTAAAAAAAAAAAAAGTTAGTGACCGTAACGGTCACTTTTTAAACGAGCCCACGAGCTGGGCTCGTCTGCTCGTTTTCAATGAGCCACGAGCTGGGCTAGTGGCTCGTTTATCTCAGCTCGCCCACTAAATCGGCCTGCTCGACTCGCGCTCAGGCTCGTGTTTTTACGAGCCCGAACCTCCCACGAGCTCCGTTTTCACGATCGAACTGACGAGTCGGTTAGCCCATTTGCCACCCCTACCACTTTCTTATTAGAGGAGGGTGCATATAATTGGTGGCAGTTAGTATAGAGCACATATCGAGACCCTTCCATTATCACTTGGACAGAATTCAGATGTATCTTTTATGATGCCTATTACCCTCAGTCCTATAAAGATGCAAAGCAGGAGGAATTTTTTATGCTAGTACAAGGGCAGATGACAGTTGTAGAATATCAAGTGAAATTTATTGAACTTTCAAAGTATGCCCAAGTTCTACTAAGCAACAAAATTGATAAATGCAGACGATTTGAAAATGGGTTAAGGGAAAACATTCGGTCAGTAGTAACAGGTGCAGGCTGGAATGAATTTCGTAAATTAGTGGAATCAGTTTTGAGAGTAGAAAAGAGCATTTCTGATAGGCCAAGTGTTAGAGAACAAACAATGTTCAGGGCAAGCGGTAGTCAGACAATGGTGAGTGCTTCTAACTATAGATTGCCTTAGAAAGACGGTAGAGGATTTCGAACTGGTGTGTCCAATTCGGGTCAATTCAAATCTCGATCACGGGGAAGTTAGGGGCCTAGATTCAGTCACAATATTGTACAATAGCCATCCAGCTGTACTTATACTCAGGGTTCTTCTTAGAGATTATTTACTTCAAGACAGGGCGAGAGTTTTACTGGCACTAGACTTCCCTATTGTCAGTTATGTGGAAGACCTCATCTCGGCACATGTCTAAAGTTTAAAGGGAGCGGAGTCTGTTATCGTTGTGGTCAAGGCAGACATATTAGAAGAAATTGTCCAATTCTATCACAGAAGAGTAGCATAATACAGAAGACGTTTGCTCGGCAGAGTGTTGGTAGTACTAGATAGATCAGAGAGATGATTCAGTTAATAGAACAAGTGCAAATAGTGTAGCCCACTCTAATATTACAAGCGGTAGTAGTACAAAATCAAAAGGTCAGGCAGGACGGCTGAAGACCCAGGGCAAAGTTTTTGCTATGACTCAGCAGGCGGCAGAGGAGTCACCAGATGTTATCATGGGTATGTTGTCTATTTTTGATAGAAATGCTCGTATTTTGATTGATCTTGGATCTACACATTCTTTTATATCATTTGCATTTGCTTTATATGTGAATCAAAAGCCAGAAATTTTAGGCAGTTGTTTGGTAGTGAATATACCAGTGGAAAAATCACTATTAGCAAACAATATATATCGAGATTGTGGGATTAAGGTAAAGGAGAACGAGCTAAAGACAAATTTAATACCTCTTGAGATACATGATTTCAATGTTATCTTGAGTATGAACTTTCTGGCATCAAATCGAGCTTCAGTTGATTGCTTTCGAAAGGATGTTGTGTTTAGACAGTCAGGACAGCCTGAAATTATATTCAATGGACATCGCAAAATTTTATCGTCTTGTTTGGTATCTGCTATTGATACTAGAAGATTACTCAACAACGGCTGCTATGTATATTTGACTCATGTGATTGATATAGATGTTAGCAAACTAAAACTTGAAGACATCCCAGTGGTCAAGGACTTTCCAAATGTATTTCCAGAAGAATTACTAGGCTAAACGTCGGACAGGGATGTAGAATTCACTATAGATCTGATTTCATGAACTGCAGCTATTTCACGGGCACCCTATAGAATGGCACCAGCAGAATTGAAACAACTAAAGGTTCAGTTGCAAGATTTGGTAGACAAGGGTTTCATCAGACCTAGTGTATCTCATTGGGGAGCACCAGTTTTGTTTGTGAAGAAAAAAGATGACATCATGCTACTGTTCATAGATTAGAGACAATTGAACAAAATAACAAATCGCAATAAATATCCTTTGCCACATATTGATGATTTGTTTGATCAGCTTCGCGGTGCTACAGTATTTTCAAAGATTAATTTACGTTCTAGATATCATCAACTTAAAATCAGGGACAGTGATGTGCCAAAAACTGCTTTCAGGACAAGATATGGTCATTTTGAATTTCTTGTGATGCCATTTGGGTTGACCAACGCACCAGCAACATTTGTGGATATGATGAATAGAGTGTTTCACCCATATTTAGATAGATTTGTGATTGCATTCATCGATGATATTTTAGTATACTCTCATAATCACGATGAGCACATAGAGCATTTCAAAATTATCTTGTAGACTCTACATGATGAGCACTTATATGCTAAATTCAGTAAATGTGAATTCTGGCTTGATAGAGTTTTTTTTTGGGACATGTCGTATCAATAGAAGGAATTTATGTTAACCCGCAGAAAACTGAGGTAGTGGTAAAATGGGAAAATCCTACTAATGTGACAGAAATTCAAAGTTTTCGTGGCTTAGCAGGTTATTACCGTCGTTTTGTAGAGGGATTTTCTAAAATTGCTTTGTCTTTGACTAGTTTGACTAGAAAGAATGCTAAATTTTTTTGGAATGAAGATTGCGAAAGAAGTTTCCTCGAATTGAAGAATCGATTAGTGTCAACTCCGATTCTTACCTTTCCATCACCCGGTGAAGAGTTTGTGATATATAGTGATGCTTCATGTTAGGGTCTTGGTTGTGTCTTGATGCAGAATGGGAAGGTTATAACGTATGCTTCCAAGCAGCTGAAGAAACGTGAACTGAGTTATCCTACACATGACTTAGAGCCAGCTGCAGTTGTCCTAGCCTTGAAGATTTGGAGACATTACTTGTATGGCGAGAGATGTCAGATATATATAGATAATAAAAGCTCAAAGTATATTTTTGACCAGAAAGAGTTGAATTTGAGGCAAAGAAAATGATTAGAGCTGATAAAAGATTACGACTGCAAGATTGATTATCATCCAGGGAAGGCTAATGTAGTTGCTAATGCTCTCAGTTGAAAAATATCGAGTCCTATGACACAGACTAATGCAGTATGTTCATCTTTGCTTGGTAAGTTTAGAGCTTTTCATGCCCAATTATCAGTTATCAATGTAGGAGCATTGTTTGCCAACTTCCAAGTAAGGCCTATTTTGATTGACACAGTTAGAGAAACTCAAACTCAAGATCCAGTGTTGAGCAAATTGAAAGAAAAAGTTAGTAAAGGTAAGCATACAGATTATACCGTTCGAGATAACGGAGCTTTAGTTATTGGAAACAAATTATGTGTTCCAAATGATTCGAAATTGAAGGGAGAAATTCTTGAAGAGGCACATAGTTCAGCTTACGTGATGCATCTAGGCAGGACAAAAATGTATAGTGTACTCAAAGAACACTATTGTTGGCATGGAATGAAGGGAGAGATAGCTGAGTTTGTATCCAGATGTCTCATTTGTCGGCAAGGGACACCAGATCGTCAGAAAATAGCATGATTGTTACAAACGTTGCCTATTCCTGAGTGGAAATTGGAATACATTACTATGGATTTTCTATTTGGACTTCCGCGGACTCAGAGTGGACATGATGGCATATGGATCGTTGTAGACAGATTGACGAAAACTGCTAGATTTTTGCTTATTAAAGTCTCTCACTCGTTAGATGAATTGGCAAAAATATATGTTGATAAGATAATCAGTTTGTATGGGGCACTAGTAACTATCGTTTCAGATAAAGATTCTCGTTTCACTTCTAAATTTTGGCCTCGTTTGCAGAAAGTTATGGGTACTAAACTTCATTTCAGTACAGTTTTTCATCCATAGACAGATGGTCAGCCAGAAATAACTATTCAGACTTTGGAAGACATGTTACGAGTTTGTGTATTACAGTTTAAAGAGAATTGGGATACTCATATTCCTTTGATGGAGTTTGCTTATAATAACAGTTATCATTCGAGTATAGAAATTGCTCCTTTTGAAGCATTATATGGTAGGAAATGCAGAATTTCAATAAGTTGGGATGAAGTTGGCGAAAGAAAGTTATTGGGTCCTGAATATGTCCATATTACTGTTGAGAAAGTAAAGATAATTAAAGAAAAGTTAAAGACAGCCCAAGATGGACAGAAGAACTATGCAGATAGACGCAAAAGAAACCTTGAATTTGATGTTGGGGATAGAGTTTTCCTGCAATTTTCGCCATGGAAAGGTGTTATCAGATTTGGTAAACGAGGTAAATTAATTTCGAGGTATATTGGCCCATATAAAATTGTTAAACGCATCGGTCCAGTTGCGTGTTGATTGGCTTTGCTAATAGAATTCTCCAGAATTCATAATGTATTCCATGTTTCGATGCTTCGTAAGTATATTTCAGATCCATTTCATATTTTGGAATCACAACCAATAGAGCTGAAAGAAAATCTTACTTATGAAGAGGAACCAGTTCAGATATTGGATAGAAAGGAATAGGTCTTGCGTAGTAAAACGATTCCTTTGGTTAAAATCTTATGGTGGAATCATGCTATGGAAGAAGCGACATGGGAAAGTGAAGAACAGATGCGTTCTCAGTATCCCAAGATTTCGCACTTAGTCAATTGAATTTCGAGAACAAAATTCTTTTAAGATGGTGAGTTTTGTAATATCTTAAATTAATGGGAAAGAAAAGTCAACTTTGTCAAAAAAAAAAAAAGCGATAAAACAAAATTGGTAGGCAGTGGAGTAATATATATTAACTAAATTCATACAAATCCAAAACCATTTTAGAACATATACAAACATACACAGAGAGAAATAGAAACAGGGAGAAAGAAAGAGAACAAGAAAAAGAGAAGTGTGAAAAGAAAAAAAGGGGAAGAAGAAAAAGAAAAAAAAATAGAAATTTTTTGCTAACGTGTTAGAAATTAAGTGCTTTATACTATTAAACTTGAATTCCTCAATTTTGAAAGGTAAGTAAAAAGTTACTTATTGTTGAGTTATGTTTAATTTTAGAGTTGTTAAATTGTTAGATTAAATTTAATTTTATTGAATGAATTAAGTATAATAAACTATGAAATTAAGTAAAATGAAAGAAAAACTAGTTTTAATGATTGAAGAGACTTTAGAAATCGCTTAAATGCGAAATGATTAAGTTTGAGTATCGCCTATTTAATTGTTGAAATTACTTAAAATAGTTAAATATTGATTTAAAAATTATATTATATTTCAGGCGGCGATAAGGATGTCGGGACAGCTTACCAATCGAGTTGATTTTGGCGTATATAGTTTTGTAGGTAGAAAAATATAAATATTTTTTAAGTATTTATAAATTAAGTATATTGTCAAAGTATGTACAATTATATGCAAATATGTGATCGAATTATATGGTCATTATGGAAATATTTTTTATTATGATACATGTGGGGGATTTCAAAGATTGTATACAATACATTATGAATTGGAATATGAGATATGATTTTGAGATCGACCAGAGAAGTACCCATGATTATATATTTCTTCTAGTTCACGATGGGCCTTGGCCGTGTTTTATACTACACTGATGGATCTTGGACCGGGGATGAAGGTGTATCGACCATGTACATATAGTTTATTGAGGGGCCTTGGTCGTGTTCTAGAATTGATTATGAGATATCTTTGAGACCAACTTTTGTTCACCGGGTGGGGGGGGCAAAGGCCCGTGGCGAAAGTTCTTAGGCCGAGAAGCGGATTACATATTTCAATCAGAGGGTGCATTTTTGGTGAATTTTTCAGCATGTTTAATATGATGAGATTATAGCATAGTTATCAGCTGATGTTTATATCATGATCTTAAGATGATATTTTATGACCTTGTGTAAATATTTCACTTTTTGACTATAATTAAATGATGGTAGCTTGTGATTTATCAAATGATATAAATTTGATCTAGGCATTAACAGATCCTGGCTCTTTTTCACATTCGACGTGGTCTAGCTATCAAGATATTCCTTGGATGGTTAACACATAACTTCATCCTAGTATCTCATCTGTCAAGCCAAATCTTATTACTTGTGTCAATCCATAGTTGTCATAGCCTTGTAGCAATTCTAGCTTGTATAGCCTGGATTTTTTTCTAAAAAGTTCTATAAGATGTACAAATGCTAAACTGTCACATCAATCAGCCAATCTAATGTACATTGACCTAAAACAAGGTAATGCCTATGGCCGAGGCCCTTCATGGAAGATGCCAATTGCCAATTGCCGCATTAATGTACTTCAACAAAGTTGTAATACCTCTCCTTTGATAATAGCAATTTGGACAAAAACATCTAAGGCATGACCTCGTTGCCTTGGTGGACACGTGTTAAAAAGGTGATACCAAAGTAGAGTGATGACTTTACATATCCAATTACTTAACTGACTAATACGTGACCTGTCCCTCAAGTAGAGGCGTGATAGAATTTAATTTTGATAACAAACAATAACAAAATTGTCAATACTCAAATACCCCATGTTGATCCAACTAGGAAAATGTTGTGTTGATAACATGTCTCTTGTAATTGGTGTAGGAATTGGTTCAAATTATTAACCAAAGATTGGAAAATGAAAAGGTGTGTAAAAGGGGGAAATGAAAAGGTGTGACTACGTGTCAACTTCGACTAAATATTCGGACCTGATCCGATGGTCAAATTACAAAAGTAAATAGACCAATTTATTCTACACGTCGAGTAGATTGTCATGGTATATTTGAAATCTTGAAACCAATTTCGGATGAATGAGAAATTGCGGACC